CCAAGTCTATGACTTCCTAGACTCTTGTGTGCCAACCAGGTTCAATATTAAACCTACTCAAAGCAAGCAGTATCACAACATTTGTGGGTTGACATGCAAGAGACTAGCGCATATGAAGTCATAGGCTTGGTATTACGGATAGAAACAGAATATACTCGGTGGAGCCTAGAGCTCTTTAGTTAAAAATAGACGTGCTTTATGGACCACGTCTATGATTAACCACGTGTATTGTTAGCCAACTAGCTCTAGTCTCCTCCGCCTCTATCTTGTTTCTATTCCTAATACCAAGTCTATGATTTCTTATGCGCTAGTCTCTTGTATGTCAACCCACAAATGTTGTAATAGTTCCTTCATTGATTAGGTTTAATGTTGAACCCAGCTGGATTTGTCTGTTCTCATTAGAATTTAGCTGAAAATTGCGACCGTGGAGCACAGATGGTGTGGTAGTGGTCGAGTGAAGTACTTGTACCAGGAAGATAGCAGACAGATCCTACAGGTAAAGAGGGAGACTTTGATAAGACCTATGGAATAAAGACTGCGTAAGAATATGGCAGACTGATCAACATTCCCAGCACAAAAGTGAAGTGGGATAAGAATGGTAGCGTGGAGTGTGGAGAGTTATCATTTAAGCCGCTGAAAGGGCACACCACATTACATTTAAATAAGCAAGGAAAAATTGTGAATGAAAGCGTGATACGAGGATATAGGATAGGTGAATAACCCAGGACAGAATGAGAGAAATCACAACTGTTTAGCACACATTTGCTCAAAGGATCGGCTTCACTTGTCCCTTTGATGAGTTGTAGTTTGGTGCTAAGAATGGCAAGACTCACTGACGATGCCGGCAAAACGTCTTGGAATGCACCATATCCACGGTCCGACTCTGGAAATTATCATGCATACAATGGACTGCTGACCAGGTGCGTTCCTCTAAGTCTTCCTACCAATATGCTCAAGTTTTGAAAACAAAATCAAAGAACTTCTATACAACGAAAGGAGACTGCGACCACACAAAAGGCCACACCATCTTGGTATTCATAACTTACATTACATTGTTTCTCCTCGTTTTCTCAACTTGGTCATATTGTTAGGAAGACCAAGAGGAATGCACCTAGTCCGGAATCCACAGTATGCATGATAATTTCCAGAGCCATCATGCATACTCGTGGACTCAAATGCATGCTCATGCATACCATGAACTCTGGGCTAGGTGCGTTCCTTTAGGTCTTCCTAACAATGTGACCAATTTGCGAAAACATGCTTATACAAGGAAAAGAGATTGCGACCATAGAAAGGCCACGCTACCTTGATCTCCATACCTTCGATAAGGATCACATTTTTCATTTCGCCTTGAATATCAACATTTATTTTGTTTTGGAAAAGGAATATCGTTGAGATACAAATAAAATTATCAATTTTCGATCTGCACTCATCCCATACATGCGCATCGCACACAAACAGCCGTAACAAAATTCGCACCCACCGGTTGGAAAGTAGCCATGTTCTGTGACTTAGGCAATTGCTGTCCAGTCAGAGCCGACATCAGAAGAGGTAGATAGTTTTGCATGCCAATAACAGATTGCGGATATTGCGTGGACTGGAGTGCTGGCTGGAAGCCTGACGAAGAAAAGGCAGTGGGCTGCGAGGCAAGCATTACTGGCGAAGGGGCCAAAGGGGCGGCAGATGGAGAGGTATAATTAGCATGTGCTGCCTGAATTGAGCCAAGTGAAGCAGTTATACTGGCCATGGCAGAAACGAGAGATACACGCAAATCTCCAATTCCGTGAGTAAGTTCGTCAATGGCATTGGCAATACGAGCAAGTTCAGCTCGGCCAGCCAAGCTGGTGTCGCTGGAAGCATGGACTGAGCCCTGAGAAATAGCACCACTAGTGGTGCTGGAGATACGCACCATCTCACTTGCAGACGCTTGTTCGCGGGATAAGCGCTCGTTTAATTGCCGGGACAAGGCCAATTCTGCACGAGTGTCAGCTAGCAGATGAACTGTGTCGGATAAAGAAATCTGCCATTGGCTAAGGACACTTGTAAGAAGCTTCTCCTACAAAATGGGTGATTCGTAAAAATGATAAGATGATTTCTTTCGGTTCATAAAAGAGATAAAATCAGAAGCCAAGTCTAATAAATTGAGAATGAGATATACCAATCTTTATAAAACAATCCAACAATAAGAGAAATGATAACAGAAACATAAGCAATCATCATGGACATATGGAAAGCTCATTCTTCACACATTAAAAAACACAAGTTAGAAGTATAAATACCAAAATTGTCCCAAAACTCAAATACATACGCTTGTAAGGTAAAAATTGAATAGTCAAACTGTTTTTTTTATATTGATTTTTCCAGACTGCGGCATTAAGCTCTAGCAATCTAAGCATCAACGGCAAGAGAAATAAAGTTCAGGATGTGGTTTAAGAATATAGGCTATGCTGTTTAAGAAGTTTACTTTATTTAATTTGAAACATAGTTTTACAAGGAATAGACTATTAAAATATGCAGTGCAAATGATCTTAACAAAGATTAAGAAATATAGCCGAAATGATTGCTGTGGTGCAAGGTAAATGTTAACTCCTTGATATGAATAGGAAATATGAAGACTAAAATGATGTGATCTAAGGGTTGGTAGCAGCCACCTTCAGCTGTATAGCAGTAATTTGACCTCGTTTGTGCGACTTGATCATAACGACAGGGAGACCTTGTGGAACATACCGATTCCTGAGACCCCCGCTCAGTATTTATGATAATTACTATGCATAATTCCATTTATAGTAAGCGTTTGGTAAAAAGATTCAAATGTCGATCCTGCCAGAAGACGATGGAGGATTCCTCTGTTCATGATCATTTTCAAAACAAGAGCACTTGTTACATTCCCATGAGGTTTCGCCGGCAATTTTAGTAAAAGACGCCATCCAGGGTACATATTTACAGCTTAGCAAAATGGCAGGATAGAAAATACCTCCGACCAATTTTCTGTTTGACCATTGTGACATCCCCAGCCCCCATCCTAGCTTATAAAATTGCATTCCTATATCTCAGCCCCAGTTCTTATGGCCCATTAATTTATTCATACCTTTGAATGTCTTCCATTGCTCCATATTGACTAAATTCACGGAAATCCAAGTGAATTTAGTGAAGCAGATGCCATTCACAGAGCTTCTAAGACCTAATCAACAATTCCATTCAGCCTTCCCCTACCAAGCTAGTCAGCTGTTACTTTCTACATATGAAAATTAGTGTTTAACTAGCATTATATAAATTCTAGATTCCAGACTCCGTTTGCGTCATATTCAAAGATTCAAAAAAGGTTATTCTCATGCCTACAGACGCCTAGGCTCTTCCTCACCCCCTATCCGTCATTCTCTATGATAGGAGAACTGGTCTGCTAATGTGCTCACCACTGTCACCTCTGTTGGCTGACTACATGAACAAGCTGGGGGAGCATTCCAAAACTTCACCTCGCCCGCCCAATTTAATGTGATACTTGGTTGATTACTTTGCATTCTGGCTCATATAAAATGAAAATTAAATGAATGCTTAATCTCTTAAAACGATGAAAAAAAGTTGGAGAAAGTAGAATTAATTTTCTTCGATGTATAGATCATTCACTCAGGAGACTCCTAAGAAAAGGTTATTTTTAAATATATCAGATGAAAGAATAATTCTTAATTTTTCAGTAATCACTAGTATATATTGAATATTAAAATACTTAGGAGCAGGAATTAATAAAGCATAAGAATTGTGCAAACTAAGATACTTGAAACGGATATCCAGAAAAAATAAAAAAAATAAAAAAAGAAGCCGTGATGAGCAGATGGCAAGGTAGGAAGTATGAAAAGGAAAACAAGGAAGGTAGAGGAAAATTATTTATATGTCTACCCTACTTCGAACTGGCTTGGAAGCTGCGGCCACTCTTAATAAAATTGAAAGGATTACGC